GTCGCAGACTCGTATCCCACCGCTGCCAACCAGTTGTTGCGACCGGGGTTTCCAGACACCGGAGGTCCGGGATGAAGTTGTCGAGGCAGGAGGAAGAGAGACTTGAAGAGGGTTTATTTACAATATGTACATTGCGAACTCCCTACACGGTGAGCTCTCAAACGTGGCAGGCCTCTACATGTCTCCTAACATAGCGCTACATGGTGCTTGGTTCTACATGGTTCTGCTCGGTTCTGCTCTCGAAAAAAAGCACACACGAATGAGCCGTGGGGGCTCATTATAAAGGGTCTGTCCTCCCCAGATCCCTAGATCGGGGACCGCGTACAGAGGGCACCGTCCAACCACGGATCACACATTACCCGCGAGGGTGACGAGCACGCACGGTCCACGTGAACGTTCAAAATTGAAGCGTGGTCACTGCACGGCCATGTGGCACGAACGTGGCTCCTCCTCGTCAAGGGGTGTCGCTGGGCGAGGGGGTCTGAAGTTGATGACTGCATCCATCGAAAGCGCCGCCGTAAACAAGCTTCAAATGGTCGCCGAACGACTCGTTCAATTAGCGGGACGATTTCCGGCCGCCGCCGCCGCCGTCATCTTCCAAAGAAGAAGCGGCACTTGTGGTCTCCCGAACTGCTCACGGTGTCGTGGCGGCAAGACGCCGCACCCTCCGGCCAGGGGGGAACAATACATGGCGGACACAGGCCGCCAGCCCGTTTGGCGACTAAAAAGGAACATCAAAAGGAACGCCGATCCATTGTCAGACCTGGCGCCGGTCCTAACAGTAGGCAGCCGGTCGTTCGGTTACTTGTTTGAAGATTAAAGGAGCGCCGCTCCCTCTTCCGCTCTGGCGCCGGTCACAACAGCACCCCCATTTTTTTTTTATGTATGTTAACGCATACGACAACCTATCAGTCATGAGTGAGCGTTTCCGGTGTACATATTTCTTTCCTGGTCCTACTTCTCTCTCTCTCTCTCTCTCTTTTTTTTTGCCCCTTGGGCTTTATTCCAACCTGCTGTTACAGTGCCAAGGGAAGTTGGTAGATGCATATGCTGCGAGCAACGCGCAGTGGTCTGGTCAATGTATTTTATTTCACGAAATTCCACTTATTTCTAAAGCACTTTTTGAATATACCAGAACTGTACAATTCACTTGTAAACAGCGTCAAAGGACTCTGATTCCTAATGCATCCGTGAATTTATGGACAGTGCTCGCACCTTTTAGGCAACCAAGTTGTATTGTTTTTTATTTATGCCAAAGGCGGACAGACGCTAAAGGATAATAATAAACTGACGCTTCTGAGCCGCTCAGCTGGTTGAATAGGGGGACAAGCGGAAATTGTAGACAGGTCATCGCACCCAAACACCAAATTTTGTGAGTGAATCAGCAGTAATATATCACACCTTGCCAAGTTCACTTGATCTGCAAAGCACTGGCACGGTGGAAACGGCAAGTTCAAGTGTGAGGCCTGCGCACTCGTCGCGGCGGCTGCTGCAGTGAACCAACTTTTCCCATAAGTGCTTGCGCACCCGTTGGGGGCGCTAGTGTGCTTTAAAAAGATCTATTGAAAAAGTTTCAACATTCTTCCGTGTCCGAATATGAAATGGTAATGTACCTTTGTGCTGTTTGTGAAAAGGTACATACATAAGTCCATATGACATAGATCACGAAACTTCGGCAGTATTTATTGCTCCCCGATTTGTGGTAGCCTTGTTTTGAATTTTGGCGTGATCCATTTTCCTTTCCTTGATTGCTCAGCTTCCATCGATGCTGATAATTCGCACATGCAAGTTAAGAACAGTCAATGCAACGCAGTGTTGTTTTCCAGTTGCCAATATTTAATTTTCTGTTGTTGATGCTCGGTCTTTATGAAAATATGTTATAACAGTGATGTGCCATGCAGCATCAGTAGAGCATTTTATAAAATATTTATGTTTTGTATCATCTTTGTAGCTACAATGATCTGCGAGTTTGATGCACCGTAGTCCTCTCCCAACAGTGTCATTAGCTCCAATTGTCAAATCTAACATAGCATGTTATGCCATTTCAATCTTAGAATACCAGTTATGACAGCACTTTCTTCAATCTTTCTTCCAATGAGTACAGAGTGGTTTGCCTTGACAGCCCTTTATTTTATGGGAAGGCCAGGTCCTTGAGAATTCCAGTGCTGTTGTTGAGCAGACGCATCATGGTATTGCGTATTTCAACTTCCAATGGTTTCTCAACTTGCAGTTGAAGGGCCCTTGCAGTATCGGTGTGACTGTAAGACATGCCTCCATATAGTCACAGCTCCAGCTTGTTTTATGAATTGTAGACGACATCACTTGATGGATATCTTCACTTCCGTAATCAATGTTGGTGACAGTGTTACTGCTGACAGTGGTTTCATACTATCTGTGTTCGATATACACGAGAGAATTTCGTTGAAGAATACATCTTGGCATCCACTACCGGCTTCATCTGTTGGGACATTTGAAGGCACACAAAAAATAGGCTGGTCGCTTGCCTTTTAATAGTGAATATGACATTAGATTTTCATGCACAATGCACATAGTTTTTGCATGCTGCTGGAAGGACTCATTCTTCATATATCTAGTTGCTCAAAGTTGGTTGGTTTAATTTTTTTAGAAGCAAAATCTTGTGAAAAGCATCTCTAAAGCAGGGTACTCATGCGAAGAATAAGTGCTGGGGCTTCGCAGTGTGCCTTGTCAGTATCGATGATAAGGCTTACCGTATATCCAACAACTTCTCAGTCTACTAGAAGCTGAAGACTGTCAATGGTCAGAACAGGGCAGTTCACTGAGATGGATCCATTCTTTATGATGAACCAATTCAGGGGCTTGTCAGTCAATCCTGGGGGCTGTTCATTTGCTTGTTAGTACGATCTTTGTGTTTCACAAGGCAGCTTTGTAGATACCATCAAATGAGCACACAGGAAGAGCAGACTACTGAGTCAACATGGCAGTTTGATGGAATAATGAAGAGCGCATCATACCAAGTAAGTGAAGAAGATGTTTTGACACATTCTTTGTTCACACTCAAATTATAGTTGTGCAGCTGGTGTGCAAGGTAAGCCTTGCATAGCAGCTGTACTACAAAGCAGCAGCAGCAGCAGCAATTTCCGCAGCCGATAAGTCTACATAAAGTTCACTGAGGTCTGCCAAAGCGATGACCATGCACATGGAAGACGGAGGTTGGCACATGAGTGATGATCATTACATAACGGTACAATTTAAAATATTTTGCCTTACTAGAACATTTGGTTTACAATCACAGTTGTGTCTCAGCACACTGCCATTCATGCAACTAGTACACACTACTTCTATAACAGTTCTGAAAAATACAGATGATATTGCAATATGCATGCCCTATGCAGTTGCAGGGTTATGAACAACTTATCAGGCTTGGCGAGAAAATGCATCCAGTAGCAAGAAGACACTCTTACGAAAAGCTCAGCCGAATTCTGCAGTCATGAGCGGAAAGGAGAAATCAAAAGCAAAGCTTCAAGTAGCCATTTTCCCCGAGTGTCCTTTTTCATACACAGGCCTATGCTCAAACTCTTCGGGGGCACCTGCTGCTTCATGTTAAACAATAGATAGCACGCTAAAGTAAAGGCTTGTTAGTTCAGATTTCACGGACCGAAAAATATGTCAGAGTTAACCAAATGTCAAATTGTTCATCGCCCTGAGTGGTTGAGCGTCCAAAACCACCGCATGATTATGAGAGACGCCATAGTCGAGGGCTCCGAAAATTTCGACCACCTGGGGTTCTTTAACGTGCACCCAAATCTGAGCACACGGGCCTACAACATTTCCACCTCCATCGGAAATGCAGCCGCCGTAGCCGGGATTCGATCCCGCGACCTGCGGGTCAGCAGCCGAGTACCTTAGACACTAGACCACCGCGGCGGGGCAATGTCTAATTGTAGAAAGTATCAAGAAAACAAACAAGTGTTCATCGTATTCGTGCACTTTCATTTTCATGACAGATACCTAAATCCAGTATTTATCTTGCATAAAAGCAGTGTAAAAGTCCCATTTCCACGATCAAAGACATTGCTCACAATGTGATTGCGGCTCAGGACAGGACCAGTCTTTTTGAGCCAAACACATTCTGAACCAGTCCCTTAAGCACGGCCACCACCATCACCACAGCTTGAAGATAATTTTTTACCAAAAAACATGGTGGGCAATTGATCGTTCACAATGTAGCAAGTGAGCTTTATGCGAACGCGCAGAGTGCGGCTGAAGCTAATCTTCAACAGCTTTCTCCATAGTTTTGACATTGTGTGCGCATTGCCTGAAGCCAGAATGAGGCTACCGAGCGCAGTATCTGCCGTAGATGAAACCTCACTAAAGACAAAATCAAAGTGTCCATGCAGTTTTGAAGGCACGCATGTGGTCTACGGTCTATGTCAAAAGTTAAAAGTGCTGAGCATCACATCTGCTACTAATAAAAGATTGTTCTCTCATGCACTATCACAGATGACGATTACGCAGTTTTGAAGGTACGTGGTGAATGAAACTACTGCTTGTCGCCTAACAATCTCATTTCCTGTACACACAAATAATTAAACTTGTCATGTGTCAGCCAAGAATATCAACTTTCTTACCTTTCAGCCTGGTCTACACACTAAAGAAACTAAGTTTTCGCTGAGCTGAGATTGCACGGTTGATTTTATACAATAGAAGGAGCTATCGAACCCATCGTCGATAGTGTTATAGATAGTTTCTTTTGCCCTCTGCAGTTTGATAGCAACTGAGTTATCGATAGTACCATTGATGGTTCTGCATCACTAGGTTACAGCTAAACATGAACCATGGTCTGAAAATCCGAGCGCAAAATTTTGGGCTACTGCAAGAATGCCATAGTGGCACATGTGATCTGCCTAGTGCAGAGAGTTCCAGAGAAAGGACTAATCACACAGTTGAAAGCCAGACAATACTCCAAAGAAGCATGCATTCATTCCTCCCCCCATTGTGCGAGCAAAAGTGACACTCACTTGTCAAGGCCTTTGCTATCTTCATTCGTTGAGCTTTCAGAGTCCCCATTCACGCTTTGCACAACAGTGACTGGAGAACTGCAAGAAGGACACAGCTCTGTTTGGTCATAAGCCAGTGCTTTACAACAATGCGACCACCACTCCTCTTCCCTTAGGGACTAATACATTTACTGAACCCTTTCAAACTACAGATCAAGAATCCAAAAATCAGATGTATAGAATGGTAGCACAAACCACTTAAAGTAAAAGACAATTCTCATTTCAGCAACAGTGGTCAATAATATTGCTTCAAACAACTGTTATTAAACAATGCTGAGAGCAGCCCCAGAAGCTGTCTTCGAGAATCATTAGGAGGCGTATCATGAACATAGGCCTCACACTTTCCTGAAGTTATGGACAAAAGAAAAATTGGTGGTAGATGAAACTGAACCTAAACACAGCTGTTTTCTGTTAGCTGTAACACCTGTGCAAAAAGTTACAAAAACTAGCGGCACAGAAACACACTATTCAGTGGTATCTGCTCCCACGATAAGCAAAGCAAGCGTGTACCATTGTGACACTATTCCTTTAAATGCCTCACGTAAGATAGCATTAACTGGTCCAGATCATTTTTCAAGCTGTTTTTTATTCTAGAGGTCATATTTTGCTAGATTTATTTTTCCCTCTGTTACCTCTGGCATGCCAAACGGCCTAACACAACTATAATGGTGGTGTGACAGCGTGCTGCACAAAAGTATAAAAGCAGATAAGAAATGGCTTTCATAAGTGGCTTTCGAGTATCAGCCCCCAGAAGGGAAGATAAAAGTCAGCCTGGAAATGTGCTCTTGCCTTTCCAGATTGAAATTAGGCAAAAATTTTGTAAATGGGAATTGTCCAAGATATGTGCAGCAGTATATGGTGGATGACACAATGTTTGTGTTGTTGTGGTATTATTAAATATTGTACATATGTTTACAATATGTTTAAGAGCACAAATGGTGCATAAAAACCACAGCACGGAAATATTACAGCCCGTGCATCAGGTTCGCTAATAATGCTAGTATTCTGAACAAAAATTCGTGTACAGTGTCTTGCAATTATTTAACAAATGATTGGGTCTTTATGATGAACCATGTTGAACTAAAATCCACATGCACGGGGTTATTTTCCATATTGTATGAATGTTGAAGGCCATTAATTGAGTCAATAAACACTTGAGACAATGTTGTGTGCAACGGGCATCATAACACTCAATTTTCAAGCAACGATTATGCATTAAGTGGATAATTGTTCCCAAGTATCAAATTCATGCCAATTTGCTTTCCAACACAAGATCTACAATATTATATTTCTCGTGCTCGAGTTGCCACAGTACCGTGAAAGAATACTTGGATGTTCCATTCGTTCAGACTCTTCACACGACAACACTCCAAAGGTGAAGCAAGCCAGAAATCTCCATCAAAATGTGAGTTGTTTGAACACCAGCAATAACGTAGTAAAGCTTCTGTACAGCCAACCCCCACCCCACCATCACCCCCCCCCCCCAAAAAAAAACTAACATTGTGGACAGAGTGCTTAGCAAGCTTTTAATGAAAATGGCACAAGACAGCACAAATTAGGACTAAAGACGAGATGAAGCACGGAGACTGAACGCGTGCCCTATTATGTTGCCCTACTTGGCAACATACATTGTAATGACAGATGAGAAGGTTGCAGGTAGTTTCTCCACATGTAAACAAAATTTCGGTGTACTTGCTTCAAATCAGACGTGGTAGATGACAATTTTCGTTCACATGAACAACTGCTCAAGCTGCAAACATTGCAAAATGCATGCAACACATTGCACCATCTATTTAATTAAACTTAGAATCGCACCACAATATGTCTAATTACAGCTAAAAGAACAGAGGGCCTGTGAAATTGAAATTACCCGGCAAAAAGTGCGGGAGCAATGGTCAGTTGCGACTTGATCGACAATCACGGCCGGGATGTCGGCCGCGATTGGTCGGGACGACGTTGACATTCACTAGATACACGCCACCAACGCAAGACCCTTTCCGTCTCAACAAGGGTGCGAAACTCGCACGCGCTCCGATATATACATCCGACGATCGTCTTCGAAGGCGAGGGCTCGAAAACTACCAAACGACCACTGAACGATGCAACACGGTAACAGATTCGACGTCGGCACACACTGCAGCGGAAATGCATTTCCTTGGCAGCGGGAACAACCGCTCGATAATCCGCTTGTGTTGAGGAGCACGCCCTTAGGCTGCGCCAGTGCCACAACTAAAGCTGCTGCTCTAATGGGCTGAGAAAAAAAAAACGAATAACACCGTCGCGCACCAACCTCTGCACGCGGCAGAAATTCAGGCGAGGCTATTCTTACCAGCGCTGAGTCCGTGTGATTCGTGCAGAGAACGAGATGGCTTCCCTGGCGTGGCAATCGCCAGCTGCTTGCCCGGCCATTTAAATCGGCGAGCTCAACGCGAAACATGGCTCCGTCGGGGTCGAGCGGCTGCCTCGGCGATTGCGCTCGCAGCGACTTCGGGCTGCCGCCACGTTTGTTCGCAACAGCTCCTGCCAGATCGAAACGTGCGATTCGTCGTCTCTGTCATGCCTGTCGCCGTAGTGTCCTGGCGCATTTAGAGATAATAGTAAGCCGCGAGGGATCGTGTCAGCGTCACCGCCGCGGAAGCCTCCCCACTCTGCGATGGCAGGCGCGCCGCATCAGCGCTCACCTACGGCCACAGATTCGGCGTTAAATGTCTCTCCAGACATCCGTCGACATGCTTGGCAGGTCTAGAAAGTGTAACGGGAAGGCACCGTCAACTACTGGCGCTTTTTCGGTCGTAAGAGGCCACAGGATGATCGGCTTCTGGCAGCCATGTTTGAGCAACCGAGAGAACAGCCGCGGCGGTGCATGCCCGATAAAATACAAACATACAAAAAAGAAAAACAAAGCTTCTGCGAGGCTGGATATGCTTACCCCGTGGGCGACTCCGGGTCGTACATTTCACGACGGCTTCACCACAGCCACTTGCGACACGGGAATAGCTTCAGCGGGTAACCGTGATCGAGAGTCGAGGCTCCTATTAGCGGCCTCGAGGTCCCGGGGTCTCGGCCAACATCACCGAGTACGCTGCCGTAATGCCAAAAACACGCGTTACGTTGGCGCTCCACAACGGCCTTGCCAGCCACAGAAGTCTACATAAGTGACATAAGTACCAGCAACCTAATCAAAGATGCCACCTACCTATTACTTTCATGGTTCTTACGATCGGAAGCTGTCGAGTGCGTGTGCGTGTATGCAGCTTGTGAGGAGCCCTTACCGAAACTAATATTGACAAAGAAAAGAAAAAGTTGCCATTAAGTTTTAGCATTGTTAGGACAATTTTTTTGCGCTCGTTTTACGTCAAATTTTGTTGTTTTTTTATTTTATTACGACAATATGTTTTATAAATTGTAATATATAATTTTTTTTGTACAGTTTGTCGACGTGAATGGCGCTGCGGATCCACTTTCGTCCGTGATGTGACTGTCTTCTGCAATAATGACAGACGAAAAAGACTACTTCCTCGAACTAAGTTCTAATCCTATCCGGTTTGAACCTGTCAGCAAGATCGCGAACGTGTTTTTCGATGATGCCAACCAGCAGGTATTCGTTGTGCGGTCGGGCGGAGCGACCGGCGTCGTTGTCAAGGGCCCCGACGACTGCAAGTCCACCGACTTCAGAATGGACGACAAGGGAGACGTCGTCTCCATCAAATTCTCGCCCGACTTGAAGGTTCTTGCTATTCAACGCAGCCAGAAGTCCGTCGAGTTCGTCAACTTTTCCGGCACAATCGACAGTGTCGAGTACTCCCAGAGCTGCAAAGGTAAAGCCACCAACATCTTGGGCATCGCCTGGACATGCGCAAACGAGATCGTTTTCGTTACTGACCATGGCATTGAGTTGTACCAGGTCAGCTCAGAGAAGCGAACTTTGCGTTCCCTGAAGACCTACACTCTGCAAGTGAATTGGTTCGTTTACCAACCCCAGACCTCTTTGCTAGTGCTTTCCTCAGGACCCCTGGGTAACATCTTACATCCATTTCAGTTTAAACCGGGTGTCGCGACGCGACTCCCGAAGTTTGAAGTTGACTTGCCAATCATTCCTAAACCTCCGAGAGTATGCCTCCTCGAACGAGACGTCACGACGGCGGTACTTTATGGCAAGTGCGTTATCGTAGTGTTACGACACCAGGCCAGAACCTCGGTAGGAGGTACCGGAGCTGAAATCGTCATTTACACCCTGCAAAAAGAAGCACCTCCGAGAAAAACCGACATCTTGAAGCTAGACACGAGCGGAAGGTTTGCTGTCAACGTTGTGGACAGCTTGGTCATTGTGCATCATCAAGCGTCGAAGAAGTCAATGTTGTTTGACGTAAAGTTGCCCGGATACAGTGACGGTTTTGTTACTTACCACCGGCCAGTTGTTCCTCCATCGCCAATTCGCCCGCTCAAGCTGAAGGTGACTATGCCGCCGAACAACACGCTAGAGGAGGTCAGCTACGAGCTGTACTCCCCGAACTGGGTCGTCTTCCAACCAAACATTGTCATAGATGCCAAGATCGGCTGCCTCTGGTACGTCACGCTGAGGCTGGAACCTTTGCTAGCCCACTTTGAGGACAAGCGCCAGTTGGTCGACTTTCTTCTGCAGCGATCCAATTCGAAGGACGTCCTACTTGGTGTGTGTCGTCGTCTTCTTGAGAAAGACTCCCAGCTGCCCCTCGAGCAGATTGCATATGTGTTCGACAAGCTCGCTGCCAAAGAGGGCTGTGTGGACCCTTCTGACATGTACGCCCACGTGTTCTCAAAGTTCGCCGATGAAGGCGAAGACAGGTTTCACTTTGTTGTTTCCACCCTCGTTGAGTACATAAGGTCATTGGTGCAGCATCAGCTACCAGTTCCCTATTGTCACAACGAGCTGCTCATCAATGTCCTTGTTCACAACAGGCGGTTTCACCAGCTACACCAGTTCCTACAGTACCATGTTCTGACGGACTCCAAACCATTGGCGTGTCTCTTGCTGTCATTGCATGCGGTGTATCCTCCAGCGACTCAGCTCGCACTCGACATGCTCAAGAGGCTGGGGACAGCTAATGAAGAGATCGTTGAGGTTTTGCTATCACAAAAAAGGGTGCTCAGTGCTATAAGGTTTGTGCAGAATCTAGGAACTTCAGATTCGATCTCGGCACGCAAGTTTCTCGAGGCAGCAAAGACGACCGAAGATCCTGCAATATTTTATGCCGTGTTCAAGTTCTTTGAGCACCGTAATGAGAATCTCAGAGGCGTGCCAGAGTTTGCCAAGGGAGAGCATTGTGAACAGTACGTCAAACATTTTGAGACATTGTATAGTGAGACGTGAACATATGAAACAAGAACGAAGTTCTCCAGTTAGGTTTGAACCAGTGATCAGGACTAGTAGCTATTATAAATAAAATGAACAATGTTCTCGACCAACGCAGCTTTTATATCGTTTGTTTTTCCTCTGCCCCTTTGTGGTGTAAACGTGCCATTCATATGAGTGTGAGAACTTGAATTTTTCTTTGCACACCTTTGAAACCACTAGGAGCAATGCAGAAACATACAAAATGACTGTTTTTATAGAAAATGTGCTGTCACGGCAGTAACATTCGCATGTTGACTTTGCATGTCATTCAGGTTGAAGGTTGAGATGTGTAAATGCTCTACATTGAAAAGTGAAGCAATGTACAGATGGCGAGAGAACTTTACACATCTTTATTACAACAACTAATACGTGCAGACTTAAGCCCCCTGCAGCAGACGGGTGCAGCCTACTTTCGGTACCACATTTGAGTCAGGTTCATGCGTTTGATCTTCCTCTGCAGTTGCAAAATGCCATACATGAGGGCCTCGGCAGTTGGAGGACAGCCTGAAATGTTATAACAGGGCCATTGTCATAACTTCGCTTGGAGCAAAATAATGGGACAGGTTTGCATAAGTGGTGAGGCACTGAAGGTTGTGGAAAAATTTGCTATTTTACTAAAGCAGCTTACGCTCATAAGCCAAACTCGTACTTCTCTTATTTTTCCTTTTTACTTCGGTGCCCTTATTAGGAATACTGAACAAAAAAAGAAAAACATGGCTGATCCCTCTGTTTAGCAATCTGTATATAACATGAAACTGAAAGGTGTCTTCACAGAGGCAGTTGAGCATTTATAGTGCGGTGTTTTCAAACAAAGGTGAAGGAATGAACGCTACGGCAACAAATTGTAATGCCACACAAGAAACAACAAGCTGATCAAAACTCTCAGCGCACACCTCAAGCAGAAAGCACACACGAAATAAGCATACACAGGACGAGCACGGGCCAACAACTGTCGCAGCTCAACACTTAAAGCAGGTTGCTCAAACACAAATACGCATGAAATGAATGCACAAATACACACAGTACAAGCACGAACAGCTGTCCCAATTTTTACGTCTCAGTGTGTGAGCAGAGTGCTTCTTTCGTAAATGCGGCTGCTGCAGCGAGCGAAGTGACCTTCGTGCTCTCTTTAACTACTATAACTTCGAAGCAAACTTGTGGTGGAAGCACAAGAGGTACAAAGTGCCTGAATCACACAATAAGCGCACATGCACAAGCAACCACGCTCTGAGAGGCACGTGCGGCCACCTTTAGACAGGCCCTTCACACTATCTCGCTACTGATCGCGAAAACGAGCTGACATTGCTGAGCTCTGAGGCCCGCCAATGGTATATGATATATATAAATAGCTCGCCATTAGCAAGCTGGAGAACGTATGCTTTGTGGACTAGTGGCGTTGCGCCGTGCGCTGCGGAGCGAGAGGTCACAAGTTCGACGGTGGGCAACGCAACCTTCTCTTTTTTTTTTTTCAAAGAAGATGGTTTTTCTTGGGATACTTTAACGCAGAAATTTTGGTGTGTCTACATTTCGTTTGTCCGTCAATTGACTCAGCTTCTTGTTCAATGCCCACCCATCTTGTTCAGTTGGCTGTGTTGATACATGTGAATATTGTCAAAACAAATATTATGAATATTTGAAGGGCAACATCAATATATGAGTATTAGACAGTGTGTTTCTTTATTTAGAAAATACATGGATATGTAATTCTGAAGACCGCACTGCTGACAATATCCTGCGCTGATGATGGGACACTATGAACGAAAAAGAGAGTGTTTCCTACGCTTCGCTAAAATGACACAGTGGCACCACCTACAAGTTGCTCTGCGTTCTAAAATACTATCGCTTGTTACACACCACTGCCAGATGGCACCCATATCTCACGCAGAGTAGGGTGCCGCCATGTTCTCCTCAGCTGCCTCTCCATAGGCAGGAGTGCCTAGATGTCCTCCTCACCCACCTCACCGTAAGTGGGAGAGGAGGACATCGAAGCGCAACGCCTGCAGACAGAAGATGAATGTCTTTCAACGTCCTTTACGGTGAAATGTGCAGAAATGCAACCAATTTTTTATGCTTTGCAGTCTGTTGACGGAAGTACATCAGCAAAGGCCTGGTCGACCCTGGCATAAAACACTTTCGTGTTAAAATAGAAAAATATGAGAATACCAAAATTACACTTTGAACATGCGATTGTTCTGATAAATGGAGCATTTCCATGCATTTTTGAACAGTTGGCTGCATATTTAGAAGCTTACGAGCACACATTGGCATACATCCTCTGCGTGCCATATGCATTGATGACTGTGAAACTATGCGCCTACAGGGTGAACACTATCCTGTCCTCCTACTTTCTCCCTCTCTCCTTCACACCCCTATGTCCCTGTCCCGAAAAGGCGCCGAGACATGCTCTATGGGAGCGTGTTCACTGCCAGTGCCGCTCATAATGATTCTAGGAACCGCAGTGGGAACAATGTGGGCTGAGAAATCGCTGGAATGGTTGGCTTGTCTGTTTTTGGGGCTAATAAACATTTCCTTTTCTAGCTGCGGTTCTGATCAATTTTAGCACTCAAGCATTCAAATGGGCTGAAATTTTGGAGTCAAAAGCATTGTTCGGTAGCATTCCTTCAAGCAGAGACACGGGTCTTTGAAATGTTATTTAATTCTTGCACAATTATTATGAAACTCACTAAGTTTATGTATATCTTTGTAGTGATTACAGATATGCAATTATTTTTTAGTACTAGTACTTTGCAAGTAATTTTCATCAATGGCGAAAGATTATTACCGCATGTTTTAGAAATATCACAAAGCTACCACTGCTTCATCTCAAAAAATCAATCCCACTCTTATTTTCCTGTGCTGCCCTTCAATTTTTGGTATAGTTTTGGTAGGGGCGGGGACAACCAGTATTGCCAATAGCACAGCCTCAGAGATGGACGTTTTACGACTTTCACGCAAGTGGAAGGGCGCATGCACCGGGGCATCGATGAAAATGTGGAGTGCAATTCCGACATGCGAGCAGCCAGCGGCGAGCCGATGGCCCCAGTGGCTCCTACCCAGTTAGTCCCTCAGGAAAAGTTATTTGTCTGTCTGACTGTACTCTCTGAAGAATAGGATGAATTTCCAATGAAATAAGTGTGACTAACAGGTGCTTTTACCGTAGCTGAAATAATTTTGGTAAGTGCACAGTAGCTGATTAATTTTTCAGTTACCCACTTCACTACTATCAGTGCCACAAGGTTATGTAGGCATTACGTGCTTGTCCTGCAAAAAAACCAACATGCAAGGCCTTGCTGGACTGATGCACAGCAGGGAGAGTAATTTTCAATGCCTTTCCAGTAGGCTTGTGCGGATAGCAAATGTATGGTTTGAAGCAAATTCGAGTGAATAGCAATTTCATTAATACTGCATATCATGAAAAATTGTTTTTTTAATTCGAACAAAACCTGTGCGTATGCCATTGCCTTTTTGGTTTAAAAGAAGTGGAAACAAGTTTGAATACTAGCTATGTCTGACTTTTTGTAGAAATCAAGTGATAACCTATAAAAATGTTTTTTTATTTATTTACTATGCTTAGAGCATATAGGCCAGTATTACAAGCTTTTACACTTAAAAATGATGAATGAATGAGAGAGTGACATGTTCATTTAATCTTGCAGTGAGGCTTCACGGCAGTGCGAATTTCCCCTGCATAGATGTTTTCACAGTTTAGTACCCTTCCACTGCAGTGAAACCACCTTTACAGAGGTTACATGCACATTATTATACACCTGTGTGTTCATTTCGAATAGTAGTTTGAAATCTCCAATAATTTGACTTCCAATCAAAGAGAATTTAAATACTACCTGCCAGATCTTGCTCACACACAATGACACAAATTAGAGAATGCAGCCACTATGAACCAAAGCGCCGCAATTCATGTTGTCACTACACTTGGATGCTATTTGAATTCCCAGCTGGTTTCTTTTTGTGGTATGCGATGGGCTTAAATGTTAAATGTTCATTGGATTGCATGATGTACAAGCAGCTCAGTCAATGTCAAGCAAATCTGGGCAACACTCCAAAGTTTTGATGGGAAGTCAAGGAGGAGCTATTGGCATGACAGCTTCACTTATACTGTTAACTGCCGTGCACGACAGCTTCCTTTCTTTCTGCTTTTTTGTGTCCAGCACAGCTACTGTGAAAGAGACTTTATCGGCACAGCACCAAGCCACAAATGCTATGGCTGGTTCTAAGGTTCAACCACATTTATTTTTCTTTGTTATTTTAACCACTCTTTTATGCTGCTCTATTATAAGTAATTATAACACCTTCTAAGTAGAAAAAAAAAAACATCGGATATACTTCTCATAAAAGGGCCAATTTCAATATAACAAAGTTCCAATATAGCGAATCAGTATGCAGATTTCACTGAATTTTCCCTACTGAGGTTTAACAATAATACAAGCTTGCTCCCATTCTACTTCCACTGATATATCAGCATTTACCTCTTGATCAGCATGAACACGCATTTCGCAGCCACCTACTTAAGGATGCTTGGAAACAAAACAATCTCACTCAGCAAATTTGCTTGTTCTCTATTGTTTTCTCAAATTAAGTGATCTACAGGAACACAGCAGAGAAAGGAAGAGAAGAAGTGTCGAGAGGAATGACTGAATGCATGCAGTTTTTTAACTTCCACTGTGTCTTGTCATCGCGTGCTTCCTTTTAAGAGCAAAAGAATGACGAACTTCCTTTACGGGCTTCTTCAATTTCTGTGGCTTAGCAGCACAATAACTACAGGCTGCTAACACGGTCACCATCGCCGACAACTTTTTTTGTGCAAATGAATAGTGAGTAGCTATGGGTACTATACCGGGAACATATATGTCCACAGGGATGATACGATCGCAGCCACGAACAACTGAGTACGAGTAGTGGTAGTAGCCGCCACCATTGGCGCAGCTCCCCATGGAGATGACCCACCGAGGCTCCAGCATCTGGTCATACACCTGCAATAACAAAGTCCGCAAGGGGCAGTCAGAGTCAAAAAGCTATTCTGATCTTGCTGTCATCCCAACTGTGGCTATGATGATGACATAGCGTCTTCTGAAACAGTTCCGCAAGTATGAGCACCAAATATTTTGCTACAAATAATGGATTCCAAAAGAACAGCCTAATATCAGTCACTGATTTCCTACTGTTTCTAAATAGAATTCTAAGCTAGAAGCCAACTCTTATTTTCCTTGTCAGATACTAGTACAATGCAGATTTTCTTTTATGAGACCATCTCTAGGTTATCGTTTTTCATTAACAGGAGCGCAAATAAGAACATGAGACAGAAAGACACAGGAGAAGCACTCTTTCTGTCCCGGTTCTTATTTGAGCTCTGTTCTATGAAGAATGATGAACAACCAACATGCCTAAACGTTCTGCCTTTTCAAGTGTATCTCTAGGCTATTTGAATGCAATTTGTGGTAGCATTTGAGAGAGAGAAACTAAAGACGACTTCAAGAAGCAGAGCATCTATTTAGAAAATACAATGCAAAAATGGCTATTAAAACTGAGGTAACCAAGAAAAAAAATTTATGCATGAATGTTATGCAGTAGTATATTGTATGCAGCGCATGGGGGCCCAGAGGGGGATGCAATGGGGTGCCTTCCCCCCCCCCCCCCCCCCCAAAATTCAGACATATTTTTTTCTCTATGCAGTAGCAATTAGCAACAAGGTACACAGCTCATCAGCACACTCTGATCCCGCATATCCACGTCAAACGACCTTCAGTAACGGTACGTTTAACATCTAATGCTGCTCCACCGCGAGCGCCTCTGACAGCAGCAGGTGCATCCTCATCGAGGGAGTGGCAAGCAGTCGCTCCAGCTTGACTTTGGCGACTACAGCAGCAAAACATGCATTGCTCCACACCATTATCCAAGAAAAACAAAATCTTCAAGTAGTGCACCAGAATGGTCTTCAGTTCAAATAACAACTCTTATGTCGCTGAACGTCATAATATGCCCACGCGTCCCAAAAATGGTACAAGGAAAGCGCAAGGATGGGCACTGTTTTTCTTTTTTCTGCACCGTGTGAGTGTTTCCAACCCACTTTCTGAAAGATGTATAAACTAGCTTGCCTCTTGACGCTTGCTCAGTCCATAATATGACAACTCGGCTGAGCCAGAGATCTACTCCTTGACAACGTGGCAGTGAGAGACGTCGCTCCAAGCTGTGAATAGTGCCATCTTTCGTTTCAAAGATATTTTTTCACATTGAGCTTTGTGTGGTGTACAAGAATTGAATACATCTGCACATTTATTAGCATGGCAGCATTTCAAGAAAATCTAAAGGTTTTTGGTAGAATTTATGGGTGTGAATGTGTACATATATTGCCTTCGTGCAATCAACAAGCAGGTAAAAAAACAATGTCATTCTTTCTACGACTGTGGTTCGTTCAAGATATAATGAGAATTTAAATTAGTAGTCTTTATCAATATCATGACTAAATCAGAGCAATCTGCCTTGTGCATGCCTTTACAGAGTATGCACGGCCCCCTGGCGGTGGCTCTGGGAAACAACCTGTGTGGTGCCATACCGCCTCTTTTTCAGTGGTGAGCGTCCAGTTTGCATGGGTGGGTGGCACAACAAATGTATTTATCTAGCTCGACACTAGTGCAGCTCATGGATGCACTTTGTGAGGCCAGGAGCAGCATTCTATTTCTTTTCCCACTTCCCATCGGTGAAATGCGATCATCAGCACCGCAAAGTTGCACCACAATCAGTGATATGAGGCGCCAAAAAGAAGACGGCAGTTCGTGGCAGCGTTTGGATTCAGCAAGATGCTGTGAAAAGCTGTTCATCAAAGATGCGTGTGTGTGCTAACTAAATGTTATATATGCGAAAAACATGTCATGTTTCCTGCAGGGTGCAGAACATGTGTGAGCTTTGTGTCTGTCCCATTGCACAGCAGTTCAGCAGTGAAAAAGTTTTATGTACCGATTTTCTTGGCACAATATGTTTCCTGCATTTGTTTTGGAATGACAAAAAAAGCTAATTATCGCTAAGTGCCCCTTGGTTCACTTTGGTCTCTACGAAACTACACTGTTGTTTACTTCAACATTTTTTACATGTCATGGTAAATCCTATGCTACAACATAATGAACGCGAAAGGGTGCAGTTTCATCACCTGTCACTCATTGACACTACATGGTTAATTTCTGCTGTCGAAGCACATTCTTTGTTCGGTGAAAAAGAAGAAAATCCACGTGTCTTGACAGCTGACATGACTGCCGCGCACCAATTCATAAATCTTGAGAAGTTTCAACGTGCAAGCCTTTTCCTGGTCACTGTAGTGCGATGTTCACAGATATTGCAGCTCCACCGTCCAACTCACCCAGGCACCCTCCTTTCAGATAAATGGCACTGGAAAATACAGTCATCAGCACAAATGCTCGAAAGCATGATATGGACTGCTTTGACTGATACCAGCCGCGAAGCGCTGGACGCTGTTGTTGAGGTAGTATCGCGGTATGCACGAATAGTAGTGATGGCGTGCAAGGGCAATGTCTTGGAGACAGAACCCAAACCTATGCGGCGCTAGGGTCCATCAAACTGTTTCGAGACACCCTGTGGAACATTCATGTTAAGTTTGCTGATGACTGTACTTAGCTCTCAACAGGTTCAGTGTGCCCTGTTCGACCAATGCCAGCTGTTCTGGTGCGCTAAAATCATGCAACGCATGTATCGTAGGATCATGTTCCCTCAATTTGAATGTGCAGGCCATCAAACATTGTGGTTCCTAGATGTGAGGTACACCGTTCACTTCAAAGCATGCCATTCAATAATATCAATGCTTCCCGCCCCGGCAGTAAATCGTTGGTGCAGCAGCAGCACGAAACGGCTAAAGCAGAGGCCCCCTAGTTCATATGATTGGTATGAATGTCACAATAAACAAAAATTATTATTATATTCACCAGACCGGCTAGTGACAGGCCCTTATGTTGTTTGTAGTCATCCTCACGAATGCATAAACAATGTAGTAGTCAGCCTTCATCGAAAGGAGGCAAATGCTTCTCAGAAGTCGTATATGGCAAGCACGTATTCCCCATCACAGAATTTTCGCCCTTTTGTGGTTTGCCGAGAGCACCAGCCGCGAACCATTTGCCACCGTGAAAGCATTGAACTGCTTCTTGCTCAGAATTTTAATTGATGTTAGCTTTTTCTTCCATCAATTGGTCACAGAAAAGAAACTACCGGGTGTGTAAATACCCCAAGGTAGCACAACACAACACTCAGACGGGGCAATGGGGCAAACAGCACATGTGCTGCTGCCACAATTTGTGTGACGCGACAACAGTAACGGTGGTGGCAAAGGTATCAGAGGCGTGCCATGATGTCCCAGAGTTTGTTTTCTTTTCTCTCACTTTCTTCTTGGTTTATTATGACCAATGCAAGAGACAAACTTGCCTCACATACATGAAAAAACACGTATAATAATAAGGAACACACAGCGACTGTTGCCATATATTTTCATTTACATCTGCCCGTGAGGCTGGCTAGTTTGTCACGCTGGCTTGTCTAATTGTTGAGGATAACCGTGTCCACATTCAACAATAATCAACATGAACTTAATCAAGTAAAATATAGCCATGTAAAAAAAAACGTCGAATTGTGGAACGGTTCCTCAAATGAGAGCTGTCTATGAACTTAGTGCTGCTTTTTTTAATTGACCTCACTGTCGACTTCGTTGTACCGCTACACAACAATAATGCTCTTACGCTACCAGCTATCAAACATGTGGCACACTAAAATAATAGAAAAGGACCAATTTGCAGTCACCGATGGGCATTCTTCTAAGAGTTTTTATTTCCATTTGCTCATTCATTAACATTCGATTAGGACGCCCACATCTGCGATTTCGCCTTTTCATATAATGCACATATACAAAAATGTTAGGAAAGACGAACTCTGAATCAAACTAAGAAAAAGTGACAGGTGTCCAAAAGAATGAAGAACAACACGAGCAACCATGTTGTGTCTCTTTTTGAAATTGTTCATCACTGGCACTTGACATTTTTTACAAAGCTTTACCAACAAGGCCGATCGTCTAGCCTTCTAGAAAACCTTCGTCTTATGTAAAGGCAAAAAACCTGCTTTTGTAAGCAGCTGTGCAGCACTTGATGAGGTGCACTGACTTCGCTTTCCTTGGCGTACAGAGGGTAGCCCGCTTAAGTTCTCTCGACAGTGACAAGAAAGTCGCCGCATTGGCACTGGAGAAGCAACGCAATGTGGAGGCTCTAGGCAAGTGCCCAGTGCTTGTTGCTACACACTATTGACTACTTTTGCCAGTCATGACACAGCACTGAAAAAAAAAAAAAAAAAAGACTAGCTATGCCTGATGGCCACCCCACCCTCAATGCTACCCTCTGCAAAAAGTTCTGCACACACCTTAGTGAGCGAGCATGCTTGTTTTCCATGTTTAAAATGAGTTGCATTAAACCTAATGTCTCCACAGCCAGAATTGTCCCATGGCTACATATGAGAACAGTATCAGTACAATTTAGGTGATGCAATTCAGGTTGCAAACGTTTACAGCAATGAATATTCACGAAATTCAAGAATAGTGATATCGAAATCACAGTCATTTAAGTAAGGCAGTCGATGACATGCTCAAGACATGAAGCTTTTTGACTAGGGCTGTGCGAATATTCAAAATTTAGAATATTTTTCTAATTGAGCATGCTGTTTGATTCAATTCACAGTGGAATTTCACTATTCAAATTTACCAAGGACAAATGCAGTCAACGTCCGATTGGCAGTGGCTCCAGTCACGCTCTGGTATTGCGTCAAAGCTTCCTTTAAGGCTCTGCTACAGTCACAATCGCAAAGACTAAATAAAACGCTGGTACCAACATGGCCATGATAAATGTGGTTCAATGCTGTTTTGGACCTGAGAGTTCGGCAGGAAGCCCGAAAAATAGGATGCTCAAAATTTTTAGCATAGAAACGTTTAGGTGTTTTTATATATTCACATCTACGAGGCCAATTTATAACTCTGGATTGAAGGAAGCACACCCTTGGTCACCACATATATTTGGACTTCAGAAAATGAAAGATGTTGAAGAAATGTAGATGTTAAAGAAATAGCAACAATGCCTTTCATGTGTAAAGTGTTGTCGGCAACACTTCAGTTGCGCCAAATCATGTACACAAATACCATTTGCCTGAATCACCTCATTCTTGATAACTATGAAACACCACCCCACCGGCACTTCACCAACCAAGCCAAAAAAAAAAAAACACTGTCACATAGCTATCTCGTAAGAATATGCTTAGGAATCCTCTCCAATTCTTTTCTACAATATTGCTTTAGAGCATTGAAAATATTTTCTAGAATTATTTAAAAGATATTTGATTTGATTCACACCCACACTTCAATATAAAAATTTGCGTCACAACCGAAATCTCGCTATTCGGAAAGTTCTATTTTTCAGGCATTATATGTGCTACAATAAATAGTAAACTTCTTAAGCTGTTCCTGATGAGTATTTACTTTAGCACTACCTTTCTCTGAGATGGTGCTAACACCCCCTGCAATTTCGTTTGCACTTTATGGTGCATGTGTTCCGCACATAGGCCGCATTTAGTGTTCACAACTATCAAGCGGTAGGTGAAGTTGTGCTTGCAAGCGTTCAACCACCACCATCATCATCATGGTTAGAACGGTAGTGCTAGTGGTCACGCCTGGCGGCAAGCCTGGGGGTGGCGGCACAGGAGTGAGAAGCGGGCTTCTTTTGCGCGTGGCGGTTGGCGCAAACGGTTGTCTTTCACGGTGGGTCCCCTGTGCGCGGCACCACGGGTTGTCTTCTGGAGGCCCTCGTGGCGAGTCAAGAGTTCTCCACCTTGTGTATGTTATGTTGTTGAGTGTATGGTAATACTGTGTAAGGTTGTTTTAGCATGTTGATCACTATTGATGTATATTGATTCGGCTGATGCTATCGTCGATCTAAAAGCAGTTAAATAAATGTATGTTGTTTGGTTGGGTCCGACCACGTCTACTGTGTCCGTTCACTTTAACTCCAATAGGGTGGCGCTCTCCATTTCAAGACCCCACAGCTTTTAACACTGAATAGAAGATCTTACTATCTCATAAGCAAATCTAAACACAACAAAATTTCGGACTGCCTAAAAAGCCTGCTTTAATACAGCACAAACAAAGAATGATGATTAACCTTTCACCCAATATCTCTCTCGAGATATATTTGCATTTTGAGAAATTGGAGGAAGTGCTAATGTTAACAACCTTTCCGATGCATCTCCACAGTACCTTTCTTAATGCCGGTGCCATCTTGTTGGTAACTGTCCCGGCTACAATAATGACGTCAGCTTGACGAGGACTTGCACGAAACACAACACCGTAACGATCCATGTCGTAACGAGGGGCTGCAATGTGCATCATCTCCACTGCGCAGCAGGCCAGGCCAAATGTCAGTGGCCAGAGGGAAGTCTGTTTAAAAAACAAAAATCACACCCTGCTTGGTTTACTGTGCAGCATCACACTGCAGGAAACATTTTCACAGACTTTCAATAAGCACCACGTAAACATTTGTCTCTGTTTTATTCAGTATCATTATTTACTAGTCATCCATTTTTTTTTTCTACACAGGAGCTGACACAAAGAACTTTAGATGCAACGAGGCCTAATGATAAGAAGGCAAGGCTGCTTGAGGAAAAGTAGCGAACCTCTCGAGTTTTCAGCCAAGATTACTGCCAGTACGAATAAAGGAAAGATGCGTAAATTTAAGGGCTCATGTTTCTCTGTTAGACAATATTGATGAGAACTAACCGAACACGCTCCCACGTTTATATGTGCACATACACTTTATAAAATGAAAGGAGGAATGCAGTAGCTCAGTGGCAGAGCATCAGAAGCATTATTCGAAGGTAGCAGGTTCGGTACTTGCCAGTGGCAAGTTGTCCTTTCGTCCAGTTTTCTTTCTTCACATTTACATTGCAATTACTTCCAATAATATCCTCTATACTTGCCTTAGCAGTCGTTGTCTGTGAGGTGGGTTCTTACTAATAACAGCATGAATGACGCACATAACGAAGCCTTAGAAGTTATTCTGTAGTTTCAACCACACTATATGAATTGTAAATGCAACATGAATAATTGTGCAGCACATAAGTGTTTATATTACTCTATGTTTGTGATCACTTGCTGGAAAATGTGCAAAGCAACACCCTGCTTTTCTTGAAATAGCATGCGCGATGGCTCGGGACAAAATGCAAGTTTCACACATTCACAGACAGTGCATCATGATTGGCACCGAACAGTGATATAGCTGATTTTCAGAAGGCAGAGAATGGATTACACTCGAACCTCATTATAACAAACTTGCATCTTACATAAAAATAAGCTCGTTATATCCAGAAAATCATTAAAAAGATTAATTCTTAACACTAAATATATTGCACAACTATTTTTAATCTACTTCGTTATGACAGATATTTCATTATATACATATTTTTTACATCAAGGTTTGAGTGTACTATATAAATGCTGGAGGGATATAAACCATGAATGAAACCTGTAGTTTTTCTACACGGGCAATGTTGCAAAGTTGCCACACTGGAATTGGAGTGATTCCAGAGTCATTCCACATTTTCTCGACCACAGAATGAAAATGGAATGGGGGCAACACTTGAACGAATAGAATGGAAATAGAGTTAAGCAGATTTTGCCTGAAACGGAATGAGAATGAAATTACGTCTTTTTTTGGAAAATGAGCCGCGTTTTCATTCCCGTGCTGTTTCGAGTCAAGCGTCGGCTCCGTCTCGCCCTGGCATGTCCGGGCACGCTACGCTGGCACGCTGCCTGGGCCTACGTCACAACGCAGCGCCATTTTCCTTTGGGCCACACGTGACATCCTTCTCTCCTACAAGCTATGTTGCGCCCGACGATTCGCTCGTCGCGGCAGATGCTCGCAGGCCTTCACGAGTGGTTAAAGCGCTGCTCAGCAGGCGGATTCTCGTTCCTCCATTCGACTTCGGCCTTTGCGCGGGAGTTGTCGCGCTGTAGGCAAGCGTACTTTCTCGATTTTGCGGAGTTCCCTATACGGCCTGCAAGCCCGTGAGTGTCACACTGGGCTGCATCTTGGGTTAATAAACCCGTTGTTGTTGTTATCCTGCCTCGTGCGTGGTTTCTGCATCGTGTTGGAGAAAATGATGAACTTGGCCGCAGCGTCGTTGCACACAGCGGCAGTGGAGGACGTCACATCCCTACACGATTGCACTTAGTAGGTAAGCCTAGTGCAAACCTATCCCCACAACGGCCATTGCTTTATCTCATTTTTTTTATAACTAAACATTCAAAAAGCCATCATTAACAATAGTGGTTGTAAAATATAAATGGCAAAGTGCCCATTTAGCTTATAACATTTCGTGACAATATTCTCATGAAAAAAACAAAATAATGCTTCTTCTTGCACCTTGTACAGCTCGCGACCTTTATTGCAGCATTTAAAAATTACGAGGACGCTTAAGCGTTTTTTATGAGATAAGCCTAGTCACCAAAAAACTAGTGAACAATTGCCGAATATGTTCGAAATACCAGGCATTCGAGAGATCAAGGTTAGGAGATCAGGCGCTCCTGAATCTCGAGCTAAAAGAAGGTCATCCGGCACTCCCACTGCTGTGGCGTGGGATCATTTCATTATTATCGTTATTTTTTTATATTTCTTGCAAATTCGCTCAGTTCCTATGAGTCGGCATACATACTTGTGTTCGCATCGCCAAACAAATAGAACATCAGAAGGAACATATTTTGCTACACCTGTAATAGCTACTACTGCAATATCACACTCAAAAGTAATCACGTAGGCCTGAGCACATGTTCTATCGAAGTCAAAGGCCACAATGCATTTTTTATGCCTACTTTTAGTTAGCCAAAGCCAGGGGTTGGCGTGGTGTAAAAATGGGGACAATCTGCCAATTCGTTACAAAGAAACCGACGTATAAGTCAGTGTACAAACAAATGCAATATCCCTGCAGCATTGTCCTCTTGTTCACGGCGCTGCGGCTAGACGCGACAGTTTTTGAAAAATGCATTAAATTCATTATTTTACCGTAGTTTCTGCTTGGAATGAAGGTTTTCTCTATCGATTTCAAAATCCAATTTATCGATTTGGCTGAAAATATTGGTGGCAAAAATTTTGTTCAGTATCCCTTTAATGAATCTTGTGACACCACCTTTATGGGGGCGTTCATTATTACCCCCAAGAAACTATCAAGATATATTTCCTACATTGAGAAATCACAGGAATGGAATGGAGCTGCCTGGCCATTCCTGGAGTGGGAATGGTCAATTTTTTTTCCTTCCAAGGAATTAAAAGGAATGGAATTGTGGCAGGTATTATTTCCCCGGAACGGAATTGGAATGAAGGTGCCCATTCCGCAACACTGCTCTACTGGAGACTGGTCATCATGTTGAAACACTCCTTCTATTATGCATAGCACACCCCCCTTCAAGCTCTGGTGATCAGGCCCTTGAAAGAAGTTCAGTAGGCGATATTTACAGGTACACAGCTGAAGTGTGAGTAAGCTTCTAGCACTGGTATACTGATTACCTTCCTTCCCCAGGCAAGTATGTCATCAGCACGAGCAAGCGCGAACTCCACCATATTGGCCGGCTTGGCAGGAGAATACGGCCTCCATGGCTGCGTTACTTGGCCAGGCTCTGCAGAGACAGGCTCAGAGGCCTTGGTTGCACTTGGCCGCAATTGCAATGCCACTGCAGTGCAGCGACACTGCGGTCCAAGTATACGCTGCAGGACTGAAGTTGCCATGCGGCCCGACCCCCAGATGGCTGCAAAAAAGGATGTGTGAGTCGGCAAACAGAGGCACACATTAACAGACTTTGATAAGTTAAGGGGCCAGTAAACAGGCTCCGATTTTTTTATACACCCCCGAACAAGCTCGCCAATTCGTACAGTAGACTGCAGTGATCACATTTGCTAATTATTACAGCACCGGCGCCACGCATCTATTTCGAAAAACAATGCCCCACCAGTTTTCCTTGTCTGACCGATTCCCCTCGTACACGCAGTTTGACAAAATCTTCCCAATGGGCAATGTTACGCACCACTGAGCTCTTCGACTGGTTCTTTGCCCTACAAAACAGTTCCTTGACTCTGCTGCGATGCAGTTTTAGCCGTACAGTGCGCATTTTCATTTTTCAGTGATGCCCTCTGCCGTTTCATAGCACGCGAGATTCTGGGAGAAGCGGTATTGATAGAACGAAAGCCTCCGTGATAAAGAGGCGTCTTACTACTTTACCGCGAGGGGAAAAGTGCTCCTCGCTTTGCATTTCCTGCCTATGCTGCTAAGACCCGTGTTCATATGGGGACGCCCTGCTCGGTCGTTGCTTGTGTGTCGATGACGAATCACGGACGTCGTGTCACGTAGCCGAAGTGGGTGGAGTCACGAAGACGAGCAACTCCTTCCTCTCCTTATGACGGAGAAGGGTAGCAATCAACCGCACGAAAATTTGAAACTGGCTGAGAGGGATGGTCTAACTACTGTAAGTTGCTTATTATAGCACGTATTCACTAAATTCTTGCGGCAGAATGTTCACATTACAAAAGTGCGCCCATTTCTCTTAATTAAAACTTTTGGACCTAGGGACTGTTTACTGGCCCTTTCAGGCTGGCCCTTAAGGTTGGCAAAAGCGGTGACGGATTCAAATCATATAGTTACATTCCCCTAGCACTTATCACACTGACTTTAAAGGGACACTAAGGTAAAATAACAATTTACATGAGAGTGAAAGCTCAATGTATGACAACATCTAAGACAACAATGTTATCAACAGCAGTGCCCTACTTGCCGGGAAACTAAGGTAAATGCTTGAGAACAAATGTTCCGTAGTAGGACATTCTCAAAATGATCCTGATAACATCTATGTTACAGCCTACAATTAATCAGTACTAATCAAACTAGCTACACTAAATAAGGAACCTTCCGTGCATCAAGAGACATAATAAAATGCTGTTTGTTAGTTTCTGTTTCATTCATGGAAGAAAGAGCCGCCGGACATTACTATGGGGAATTGCGCAAATGGTTCAAAAGTACAATTTTCGCCTGCTATAACTGGAAAGGTCGTGCCATCTAGTGGGGCCCAGTTGAACCAAGCATGTCTACCATCTCGAAGCCAATGGCTGAAAATGGTTCCAACATTGACGTGAGACGTTCTGCTTGAGGGGGGTGATTTGAATTGGGCTAACCTAGTGCGGACCACCAAAATGTGACTTTATTTCAAAATAAGCACTTCCTTGGCACAAAAGTAACACTACGAGATTTTGGGACTGCTATTTCAACAATCAACGTCAACTTAATAGTTGCCTTTAGTGTCCCTTAAAGGAATCACATAAGTTGTGATGGTATTAATGAAGGTGAAGTATGTACAGCTTGGGTAAATATGAGAGATATGGCTGAAACTACAACATTACATCAAAACTGATCCTGCCAAAACATGTATAAAAAACGCAAGTCAGACACACCACATCCTCAAGAAAATGTCGGCACATGTGACGGTGATTCATTCTCTTTGATACAGTTCGTAAAGCAACTTTATAGTTAAGTAAGAGTGATGGCATGGGATAGCATGCATACACTAAATAAAAATAGCCTTGCAGTTGATGCCAATGTCTGCTATTTCATGGCCTTTACTTAAATTTGTATGCGTGGGCCTGCTTTAGTAGATCCAGCACTTGCTCTCTGCTGCCCGATTTTATTTGGACCTTTTCTTGCTTTCTAAAAATAGTTTGCTACGAAACTGGCGTAAGTTGTCACACAATGCCCAGTTTTCGTTTCGAATAACGCTGCGCATTAGTTTTAGAGCCGCTATGACAGACGTGGCCTTTTCTCGGCACGCAGTCTGTGACTATCGGTGTCACGCAAAGGACACGACAAAAATGATACATAGAACAGCGTTGATGCTGCCTCTGCGACGGTTGTGTCATGCCTTTCACGGTCTGCAGATTCTATATTATAAATTATGCATATTGCAAAAAGTCCGACAATGAATTAGCAAGGCTGAAGTGCATCCGACACCTACGCCAACCAAGGCATTGGCGGGTAGCACAGCACAGATAAAATCAGCCGTTCTCATACGATTATGTAACCAGCATCAAATACCAACGCGTAGCTAAGACATATTACGAAAACATAATACAGTGCACGACATACACAAGTACCGGTGATACACAAGTACGACATACACAAGTACCAGTACAAGTAGCCTTATTTGGCCACCAGGTGAAAAGAGTTCGTGGTGGTTTCCCAATACTTTAACGCAGATCGGAGCCAGACACCTTGAAATTGTGCATGAAACCTTCACCGTCAACGATTTCACTGAGACTTTCTGAATAACATGCATGCCTGGCCCAAATTCCTCGATTCATAGAATCTTTCCCTACGATGACATCACTCAACCACATATCGTCATCTCTCTACGAACGCAAGGAAGCCTGGAACGCTATTTACTTGGCTAAATGATACGTTACGCCATACTTTATGCACAGGATTAAAATAGCCGTATGCGATCCACGAAACGACGCACTTCGCACAAGTGCGTCTCAGCGTCAACTCAACATGCGCAGTTCTCTAGATTGTTTACATAGAAGTATGCGCAAATCGTCACACGCACGATGCTGAATATAGTGCAAGAAATATTCGTTAAGCTTCTGAATGAAATATTGCAGGATCAAGAAAACATAAGCGCTGTTTCAAGCATTACCTTGGCTTCCCATCCTCGAGAATACCCTACAGACCTTCAGCAACCGAAAGTCAAAATGCGATACAGATTGGATTGATTTGGATTTGTACTTTTGAAAAAAGAAAACGAAAGCGAAATTTTAGAAAAAAAGTGTGGCCACATATCGTGGTTATGAAGTTTTCACGCGTAGTGTCTTGTAAATTTACCAAATAAAATACTGATATAAAAACGAAAACAAAGGGCTGCTTGAACAAGCTTTTACGAGCAAGGCATAAACTAAGAAAAAAAACGTGACATGCGCAACGTCTCAAAGGCCATGCATTGAACCCGTACTTTAAGGAGAGGAGCGCGGCGGATGGCGTCACGGAGGTTGATATTGACAAAAGACTGGCTGCATGACTTGATAGGTCTCTTTAGTCAACATTTCTTGCATTTTTATGATCTTGCATCTACAATGCTCGTTATGTTTTCAGAAGTATTTGTATTGCAAACGTCAGTTGGTCCTGCTGCTTTTCTTATTTGAGGTAAATCTCAAAGGCAATACCTTTACTGCAGGCGTGCGCCAAAAGCAGTCACAAAGACGAAAACGGAAGTTGTTTACATAGCATTAAACTATGTAAAGCCACATGAATGTCATGATGTTTTCGATATTGTCAAAAATACCGTCCTAGCAATGACAGCCACCCACTCCGTCGAGCGTTTGAAACTAAATCATGTGCAGCAACTTAGCTTAATTGTGTTAGCGCGGCACATATGAAATAAAAGGAGAAACACGACAGAGACGTCTAGAAAGGTAGGCGCTAAACTTCCAGTTGTTTATTTCATGTCCTTGAACATCCATCTTATACATGCGTTGAAACACAACTAATCTTGCACGTGGTGTCATTCCAAGAAACGTAATTTCTTTATACGTCAATGCAATTGATGGCGAACTCACACACAAGTCTCCCTTGAAATTACTTGCGAACTTCCCCATGGTGCCTCTATCAGGTTTTTGGACATCCGGTTGTTTTTGCTAGAGAAGCACACATGCTGGTCGCATGATCCACGGGCGAATAAGCCTCTTCTTTCTTTTGTCTCGGCGCACTCAAAGCTTATAACAAGTGTTGGAGCGTTCGGGCAGTAGAATAGGTGTGTAGCGAGAGAGGAAGATGAGACGGCGGCCAACGTGGTCGTGTCGTTCTCTCGCCACTTTATTCCACGCCTGAAGCAGAGCCGCGTGGCTTTCCACGTCCGATACGACAAGTGCGCTAGCTTGTTCTAATCCTCGCGCAGCTCGAGCTAGCATCAGCGGCGCGAGAGGCGCGGCGCGGTGATTGAGAAAATGATGATGGTGATGATGGAACTACAGGGCTCCCCCCCCCCCCCCCCCCCTAGCGCTTTGCGCGATTTGAAGGCATATGAAAAAAAAAGAAAGAGCGACAAACGCTATATACACGAACGACAATCCATAAAGTGTTCATTTGGCAAGTCCAGGTTGTCAACGTTTATGGGCCATCGGTAAGCAGTGTGTCTCCGGTGGGCGACTCTGGGAGAAGCGCAAGGGACGAAGAAGGAAGTGCCGGGTCGCTGTGGTCGCCGACAAGCGGGTCTCACGATGACCTGGTCGGACTGGCCGAGAGTGGACCGTGTGTCACGAGGTCATGCTGCTAACGTCGGCAAAGGGTCGGCAGTGCGGGTTTTGACGTTGGGGTCGACGCAACACAGACCTCAAAGTTGAGCGGCGTCTGACGTGCCGGTATAGATAGACGTGCCGACGCACGCAGGAACGTGTCCTAACAATGCCGCCAAGTGTACGGTGGGTAGTCGGGTACACGACTAGTGGTGGGACATTGCGTCGGATAGGCCGAGTAGGCGCTTGCGCCGTCTTCAGGGCTGTGACTGCAACTCGTGGCTGCGTAGCAGGGCGGCTCAAAAGTTGCCGCAATGTGTGACGCCAAGCACGTTGTCGTCGCCGACGTAGGGTAATGGGTGGTAGACACGTATGAGGTATGAGCGTCGTCGCGGTTGTGACACACGAGCTGGCGTTGTGGACACGCGTCTGGTTGTTGCCGTCCGGAGGCAAAGGCTCCGGTGAATGGTGGTGGTGGAACCCAGTCAGCGTGGGCTCGCACGGAGTATTGGAAGGGACACCTGTGCTCGTGTAATGACCTCCGGTAGTCCGCGCACGAGGGTTGGCGTGCAGGTCTGCATAATTGATGGCTGCCTCTAGCCAACACCCCCTAGATTGCTCCACCGCAGGCGTGGTATGCCTGGTGAGCCCTGTCTGAAGTGGACCGGGCACGTCGTCCTCAAGCGCGTCAGTCATCGTCGCAGCGTCTTGGAAGCTTGGCCGTGGTTGAGGGCTGGTGGCTTTAACTTCAGCTGCGGGAAACTGCGAGGACGATGGTGGTCGTTGCTGGCTGGACGTGCAGAGCATTGAGGCTGGTCGACGGTCGCCTTCGGACATCGGGGAGGGTGAAGGTTCCGCAACCGGGAGGTGAATAGCGGGCGTGACAATGCCCATAGTCGTGGTAGCCACCAGGGCGTTCGGTGATGTTGCCGTCGTAGAACCTGACGTGTCAGCCGTGTTGTGAGCCATGGAAGTCGGCCGAGACGAGCCGGTGGTAAGCATGTCTGCAGCGTCGTCGGCCGAGGACGATGAGAACACAAACCTCGTGGCTGACTGGTTGCATTCAGCCCAAATGTCGAGAACCTTGGCGGATGGGCAGTCGGGCGCAGGACACGCGTCTCTAGTGGTCATACGATAGGTTAAGTCTCGTTTATCGGACGTTGTTGAAGGCGAAAGCTTCGAGGTCGGGAAGTCAATAACAGGGCGAAAGGTCACCTGTGCCAGGCTCCGAGGCGGGCGGCAAGGTGGTCGTCATGGAGTCTGGTAGGGCCACGGTTGGTAGCACACGTTGCGACGCAGTGACAGCCCCAAAGTCGCGGGTCCCTGGAAGCGGTCGGTACGTGAGGCCGTTGCGGGCGAGCACCGCAGTGCAGAGGGCATCGTAAGGCTGCGGGCTGGTGCTTGAAGTGGCAGCGAGATGACGCAACTCTACCGGAAGGGCGTCATGAAGAATGGCGTGCATCAGCGGCTGGTCCGTGACGCCATTCAACGCAAGAACGGCATCGAGCTGCATGAACCATACCTTGGGGTAGGTCGATTGGAACGGCGGCACTGGCGGGCAGAGTTGCGGAAACATGGCAGCGGGCCGCTCGGCGAAGGGCGTGTCCTTCAGGTCACCAATGTAGCGAGAGAGGAAGACGGGACGGCGGCCAACGTGGTCGTGTCGTTCCCTCGCCACTTTATTCCACGCACGAAGCGGAGCCGCGTGGCTTTCCACGTCCGATACGCCAAGTGCGCTAGCTTGTTCTAGTCCTCGCGCAGCTCGAGCTAGCATCAGCTGCGCGAGAGGCGCGGCGCGGTGATTGAGAAAATGATGATGGTGATGATGGCACTACAGGTGTAACAATACTGATTGTTGGCCTAGTTCTTGCTTACTGAAATGCTTTGGCCGCAAATAACACAAACACAAAGTAAAGAAACATTGAACGACAAGCACAAGCGGCTTGTCGTTGAGTGTTTACTTTGTGCTTGTGTTATTTGCGGCCAAAGCATGTCAGTAAGAATAGGTGTAATCCCGTATATACACACTACCTCTCATAACACGAAGAAAGTGGCCCAGCGGGCTAACAGTATGCGCTGTGTTTTCAGCCCCCCCCCCCCCCCCCAAAAAAAACAAAACAAAACTAGGGGAGCTTTGCAAGTTGACCTGCCCAAATAATGTAATTCGCTTGGTCTGTGATAAGAGACACCAGGTTAGACATGTAGATTGTGTGTGCTGCGTTGTGTACATGTTTTTTGTTATCGTGTGGAAAGTATTATATAGGCAGACCAAGCGGTGTATTAATTGTAGACTTACGTGAACATGACTACAACGCAAGAAATAAACTTTCAGCGGGAGGGTTCCTAGCAGCGCACTGCAAAGGTTGTCGGTGCTCCCCTGATCTGTACAGCTGCACCGTTATCGGCCGATCTCGCAATCAGCTGACACGTGAAATCAAAGAAGCTGAAGCTATAGCAGAAATGGGAGACTTGTGTGTGAGCTCACCATCAATTGCATTGACGGATAAAGAAATGACGTTTTTTTTTTTTTGGATGACACCACGTGTAAAATGAGCTGTGTTTTTTACGCATGTATAGGATGGATGTCAAGGGCATGAAATAAACAGTTGGAAGTTAAGCGCCTATTTTTCTAGACATATCTGTCGTCTTTACCTTTTCATTTTTATATGTGCCATGCTATTACAAGCAAAGTTCATGGATAACCAACTCGCCCGAGCGACAACACTTTTGATGTGCAGCAAAATTTGCATGCTACAGAGATTCCTTGCGTGCTACACAACATTCCTTTACAGTTTGGAAAAGAAAACACGGACCAGCCAGTGTACTAACGACAGTTTTATTGAAAGGTTCCTTTTTTTTCTTTTCATTTTCCGGTGATGTCCACCACCGTTTGGTAGGGGCTGGGACCATGGCGGCCGGGTTGAATATTAATGCTAAAACGAAAGCGTTTCGCCACTTTTTCGGCAGAGGAAGGGCGCATGTCTCTTGGAATCCCCAAGATGGCGGATTCACGTACGTCACACAGCAAAGCTATATAGTGAACTAGAATATTCTACAGAACAGTCTAGCAAAGCTTCGGAAGCGCAGCCGAACAAATGTGTTCGGCGCAGTACAATATACTGAACAAGATACAGGTCAAGGGAAGGCTAGGATAGAAGTGATGAGGAGTTGGTGAAGACCGTGAGCCCCTGAGCGCCGCTGGAAGCAATATTACCTGTTTCAGCAACAATTATCAGAAAAGATTGAATATCGACTCCAGCGGCATCCCTTGTTCTATGATTAGTCATAATGAATAAAGTAAATGGTTACTTGTACAGAAAAAAATAGGTTGCAATGACCAAGACATACAAAATGTTAGTCATCAATAGCACAAATATAAAAAAATCTAAGTCTGTACAATAAACAAGTTTTATATGACAAGTTTTATAGTCTGCTTGGTATATAGTGAA